CTATTCATATTCATGTGATTGGAATAATCTTTGGTATATAAAAGCTAGTTTGTGTTTTGATGAAAACAGGCATGCCTTTACAGTTATCAAAATTAAATATAACACTTTTGTTCTACCTAAGTTTACTAAAAGTCAAGTCAAGTTCACGTTAGGGCTTCCCAGGTGGCTCAGTGGTAAAGAATCCACCTGCCAGTGCAGGAGACACAAGAGACACAGGTATGATCCCTGGGTCAGAAGATCCCCAGGAGCAGGACATAGCAACCCGCTCTAGTACCCCCACCTGGGAAATCCCAAGGACAGAGGAGCCGTCACAAAGAGTGGGACGCAACTGAGCATAGCACAAAAGAAGACCCCTACGTTCATCACAGCATTATTTAAACAGTCAAAGCTAGGAAACAACCCAGATGCCCATCAACAGATGAGTAGTTAAAGACGACGCAGGGGTCTTCCCGTCTTCCCTGGTGGCTCAGGGGTAAAGAATCTGCCTGCCAATGAAGGAGACCTGGGTTCAATCCCTCTTCTGGGAAGATCCCGCATGATGCAGAGCAACTAAGACTGTGCTCCAGAGCCTGGGAGCTGCAATGACTGAGCCCACGAGCCACAACACGGGAGCCTGGGCGCCCTAAAGCCTCTGCTCCACAGCGAGCGAAGTCACCGCAGTGAGAAGCCTGTACACCGCACCCAGGGAGCAGCCCTCGCTCCCTGCAACTGGAGAAAAGCCAGTGCAGCAATGCAGATACGGCATAGCCAAAATAAATAAAAAAGATGTGTGTGTATATACACACACACACACACAATGGAATACTAATCAGCCATAAAAAAGAATGAAATGAGGCCATTTGCAGCAATGATTCTTATAAGTGAAGGAAGACAGCTAAAGACAAATATCACATGATACCACTTATGTAGAATCTAAAAAATCAGTAATAAAAATGAACTTATTTACAAAACAGAAATAGACTCACAGATACAGAAAACAAACTTACAGTTACCAAACAGGAAAAAGGGAAAAACTAGGAGTTTGGGGTTAGCAGATACAAATCACTATGTATAAAACAGATAACCAACCAGGTCATACTGTATAGCACAGGGAACTATATTCAATATCCTGTAATAAACCATAATGGAAAAGAATTTGAAAAAGGATAGACTGTATACACAAATTACTGAATCACTCTTCTATATGCCAGAAACTAACACAACATTGTAAATCAAGTACGCTTCAATTAAATTCTAAGTGGAGTCTTTTAAAAAAAATATTTATTAAATAAATAAATAATATTTATTTACTTGGTTGTGCCAGGTCTTAGTTGCAGCATATGGGATCTAGCTCCCTGACCAGGGATCGAACCCAGGCCCCCTGCATTGGGAACAAAGAGTCTCAACCACTGGACCACCAAGGAAGTCCATAAGTGGAGTCTTTTAAGCTCAAACTTACTTTAAGGCTTTCCAAAAGGCCCCTGGAAAATTCAAAGGATTTGTCGCTCAGCAGATAAGATGTTGAGCTAATTACATTTATTTGACTTGTTACATTACTTGGGAAGCATTATCAAAAAAAAAAAAAGAAGTGATGTTAAATCTTCTTAGATTATATTTGTATGATGCATGTTATTAATACAGGTGGTGTTTTAGAAATTCCTAGAAATTTGACATATCCTAGTATAATGTTATCAATCCTAATTCCAGTTATGATCTTAAAATTTGTATATCACATAAATGACCAAATTTCCTTGTTAATTCCACTGTAAAAAAACTCTCATCAAATCTTTAATCATGGGCATTTTAAAGTCTTTTGGCTACAGACTACTACTGTTTTATTCTGATGCTTTGCAAAGGTCAGATTCAAGAAAAGGGTGCTACCAAGTGCTTTTGATCACTGATAACCCTGTCAAATTACAAGGTGTCGAACCTTGGGTGCATATTTTACAACTGAAGAAGACTACCTGACATCTGGTCCTGTGCAAGCACTGGAGACCTCAAAATCAAATTGACTAGGAAGAGAAGCAGCAAACTGCAAAGTGGACTGCTTCCTCCAAGATGTTGGATCAAGAATATTTCTACAACAAAAAACCAAATAACCTGATCAAAAAAATGGGCAGAAGTCCTAAATAGTCTGTGTGTGCTCACACTATCTGAAGCAACACAGATGCAATCAGAGATTATCATACTAAGTGAGGTGAGTCAGAAAGAAAGACAAGTACCTTTTGCTGAGCAAGGGGGTAACTGTGCTGTAAGTGGCCCATACCACTTCCTATATTTGGACTGACACTTCTGAGGAAGTTAAGACTCAGGTACGTAAGATCACCGGATAAGTCAGCTGACTTTGAAAAGAGACCCTCCTTCAATAGTCTTTCTTTGACGTACTTGATTCTGATTGGTTTGGGACTTGGGGACTATGGCTCTCAAGTGCACTCCAAACACTCCTCCTTATAAAAATCATAGTTGTCTCCTTCATATGCTGTATTTTCTCAAAAGTTTTAAAAGCATGTTTGCAACTGCTAACCACCAAACCAAGGATTTCCCAAAGAATCTCAGAAGAGAATCAAAGAAAAAACCCAACTTAAAGTGAACCTGACAGGAATTCCCTGGCAGTCCAGCGGTTAAGCCTCAGTGATTTCACTGGCCTTAATTCCTGGTCTGGGAACTAAGATCTCGCCAGGTCCACAGTGCAGCCAAAAAAAGTGAGTCCGATATTGTGAATACAACACCGAGACTCATCAAAAACAGAATTCCAGAGTTTTGCTGGGAGTAGCACTAAAACTTAAATTTTTTTTTTTAAGTCACATCTCTCAGGCTGAGACTCTGATCAAAAGGAGGACACTGTTTAAAACAAAACAGGCCCAAAATGGAGTTGCCTAGGCTGTTTCAGGTCACTGCTACTGCTAAGTCACTTCAGTCGTGTCTGACTCGGTGAGATCCCATCCCTGGGGTTCTCCAGGCAAGAACACTGGAGTGGGTTGTCATTTCCTTCTCCAATGCATACAAGTGAAAAGTGAAAGTGAAGTCGCTCAGTCATGTCTGACTGTCACTAAACCTCAACTTAATTAGTTTCGGTTCTCACAGAAATGGACTCTTAAATGTAGTCAACCTGGAATCTTGGGTAATCTGCCTGAGAGATTCCTGCCAGCCCTTAAAGGAAAGTAACCTTGCAATAATTACCCACCTGTTGCCTCGTATAACTTCTTGTTCCTGCTTCTTTTCACCTAGAAAATTCTTCCATTTGGACAGCTCCTCAGAACTCCTTTCTGTCTGCTAAGTCTTGAATGCTGCTGGGTTCCTGAATTGTTGAATAAAGCTAGTAAGAGCTTTAAAACTTACTTGACTGAATGTTGTTTTTAAACAAAACAATCCGTTTCAACTAACTCTTCCTTTTGCTTTAGGTGCAACATGGCTTGGCTTGGTAAAAGTACTGAGCCCATCTTTATTCAACATTTTAATTTTTCATCTTTTCAAGCTTTTTTCCTTCAAATGCATTTTTAATAAATTGCACTAAAAAGTTATCTTGATTACTTCTTGAGTTTCTCACCCCCTTAAATTTTGCTTCCTCCCCTAGTGCGCTTCCCATCTTTCTTCCCTCTGAGTCTTCTTAGTTTCACCTGTAAATTTTCCGACGGTTACACTTTTTTCTTTCCACCAGCACAGTGCTAACACGTGGGATCCAGTTCCCAGACCAGGGATCCAACCCGTGCATAACGCAATGGATGCACAGAGTGATCCAACCACTGGATCACCAGGGAAGTCCCTCTGAAGGTTATGTTAGGTAGTTAGAATAGGGAAAAGGAGTTCAGAATGGCGGTGGCTAAAAGGCCTGGAAGGGAAAAGCCTGCGAAAATAGAACAAAGGAGTGAGAACCTCAGGTAAAACAAACAACACTTCTGGCTGGCCCAATTTACATAAGACAGGCCCAGGGACAGAGAAACATATAAAAAGAGGAGCCAAAACCCGCTTCTCTCTCTTTCCCACGCGATGGGGTGCTCTTCTTTTCGCGTCTTTGGGTGGACGTGCCCTCACACCTCGAAGATGGATTTTCCTGCTATTATCTAAATAAACTGAGCTGTAACACTGATTTATTTAAGAGCTACAACACGGTCTGTCCTCTGAGAGCTGTGACCCGCCAAGGGGCTTTAATGTCCGTCACTCCAAATTTTTGTTGTGGAGAGACAAAGAACCGAGGAGCATACACTCGCCTGACATCTATGTTAGTATTTTAAAGTTCTATTTCTTTTTCCTTAGCCTCCTTCCTTCTGTAGGATGAAGACTTTACTGTAACTCTGAGAATCTTAAAAACTCAAAACTTTTGCTCTGTTTCGATCAATTGTCCAAAGTAGTACTTTGGCAGTGCATTCTAGGGGACCCCCCCCCCCGCCCCCACCAAGTGCAAAATGTGAACCTTGTAAAAGCACGAACAAATTCATTTCTCTAGAAGCAAGTCTCCCAGGTCATCTCAGCCCTCGAAACCTGAGTCTAGTCACAGTGACTCAGCGAATCTGAGTCTAAAGAACTGCACTCCTCTCTCTGACCGGCCCGTTCCAATTCAGAGCCAATTCCCGGAGCCAGGAGAGGCCTGGATAGCACGCCCAACGGAACCCCGGACTCCATCGGACACTTCCTCCTTTTGTTCAGGTGGTTTCAGAACAGGGTCCAGGGGACATGCCTTCCACGCCCACCCAGACCCATGGGTTCCTTACGCCCTATCCCCTAGGAACCCTTCTTCCACATGGGTCCTTGTACCTGCACTCAAACTGCCAGTTCTTTCTAGAACCTCAGCCAAGGCGTGCTCCGCCCTGCACCCCAGGCCCTGAGCGGCGGCTCCGCCTTTGCTGGCTAGTTTATGGGCCGGGCCAGCCGGACTGGGTATAAAGTAGCTAGGCGGCGGGCAGCACCGGTGACGCGTTCTAGGTGGCAGCTCGCTAAGCAGCCTGAGGACCTCGCCTCCCACCCCTCCCCAGCTTGTCACCCGGGCAACCAGCAGACCAGCCAATCGGCGCGCCGCCCGAGCCATGGCTGGTGAGTGTCCGCCCCCGCCCCCCAACCACTTCAGCAGCCTTGCTGTCCCCAGCCCTCGTTACTCAGCAGGAGCTTGTGGTTTTCCTCCTCGACTCAAGACTGGAAACGGGGAGGCGTTAGGGTAGCTGGATGAGCCCTGGCAGATGCCGGGAGAGGAGAGGCTCCTGTTTCTACCCCGCCCCCAGAAACTACGGTGGGCCGTTAGGAGATAATTGATCTTGGAAGCAAAAGGTTCCTTCCCTCTGGGGTCAGAATCAGCCGTCAGAGACCAAATTGGCCCACTTGCACACCCTGTTTGACTTTAATAGTATTTAAAATCTTTTGGAATAAGTTGCTAACATTTAAAATACATATAGGAAATTTCACTTAAAAATGTGGGTTCCCAACTTTTTTTTTTTTAGTTTAAATATTTGCTTGCGTGTATTTTGGCTTTTCTAAATAGACATTCACATCTGTAAACAATAGGATTTGGGCTTCAGCCCCAACCCCCAGTTCCTTACAAGTTTTTCTCATACATTGGCTAGAACTGCCATTTGTTGTTGTTTAGTCACTAAGCCGTGTCCCGCCCTTTTGTACTCCATGGACCGTTGCACACCAGACTCCCCATGGGATTTCCCGAGCAAGGATACTGGAGTGGGTTGCCATTTCCTTCTCCAGGTTCCCAACTTCTGAAGGAAAATTGGAAGATCTGGCGATGGGGGTGCTTGAGCTAGGGAAGCTGCTCCCTTTTGTTTGATGGACATCAGACCCAGCTCCAGGCTGCTGGGCCAGGAGACTTTTCAGACTGTGACCCGTGGAGTGGGCAAACCTGATCTGGGTGCTCGTTGAGTGAGCCTCCCTTCTCCACCGTCAACCGTAGGGGGGTCTTGGAGATCACCACACCTTGAATCTAATGTGTGGATGGCCTCTCATACATACTGGACCAGCTGCAACACCTGCTGGGTCTCGAATCCCTGTTTTCCAGACAGCCTTGCTCTGAGGTTGGGTGATGAACTAAAATCTAGATATCTATTTCCTTCCTAGAAGGCAGAATTCTACCTTTTTGTAATTTCCTTCCCTATGAACCTAGTTCTACCTTCTGAAAACACACACACAAACACACAACCTCATCTTTCTAAAAGTAAGTGGGTGAGGGAAGACATTGCTTTTGGAGTTGAGAGCCTAGTTAGGTGCCCAAGAGAAAAGGGCCAAGCTGGGGACTGGAAGCCCACCCAAGGTTTCAGGGCCTAAGGGGTAGGGCTTGGCTGACAAGGCTTCCTGCATGCAGATTAGTGGCTGTTTCCCTCTAGGTTATTTGTTCCTCAGCTGTCTGGAGGACATCAATACCCCTCTTGAAATACTAGGACAAGAACTATTTCCCCATTCTCCAATCCTATAGAATGTTCTGTGTCTATGCGTAACTTAGACCAAAAAAAAAAAAAAAAAAAGGTTGGGGGAGCTAGTGAGGGAAAATGGGAAGATTTAGATCTTGTATAACTAGTATTAAGCTTCCTAGGTGGTGTAGTGCTAAAGAATCCGCCTGCCAATGCAGGAGATACAGCTTCAATCCCTGAGTAGGGAAGATCCTCTGGAGTAGGAAATGGCAAAAATTTGTTTTGTGTTGATATGTTGATGTATCCCAAATGCCTAGAGAGGTGCCAGGTGCATCCTAAGTGCTCAGTAAACCAAGGTGGGGAGGCTGGGTCAGTGAGAACATTAGCATTTCAAGGTGGGGAAAGAAGGCTGGCTGGTGTGAACGTAGAGTGGAAATAGAAGGTGTAGGATGGTAGGGACACAGAAATGAGGATGGACTGGGAGCATATTGCTTAGAGATTGAGACCTGAAAAGCAACTGGTGCAGGGAGAGAGAGGCATTAACAAGATGTGCTTAGCTGTGTTACATAGTTGCTTCTAGGAGATGGGTTAATCATGTGCAGGACAAGCAAAACTGAATGGTAAATTAGAGGTACTGATAATAACCCCATTTGTCTTCCAAGACTCAGCTCAAATGCAGCTCTTTCTCAAGGCCTTTCCTGAGGGGCTGGCCCTGAAGTGAACAGTTTTCCTCTGTTAGTTACTTGTGTATGTGCCTTATGCCTTTCTTTGAGTAAATTCTGATAAAGTCAAGCTTGTGTAGCTAGTTAAATGGCAGGAAGGGAAACTGAGCCCTCTAAGTCCAAAAAAACTCAGATTTGGCCATGAAAAATGACCTGAAAATTAGAGAGGTGGGCTTATCTCTTGCTTTACCCTTACCTCCAGCAAAAATGCACAACTGTTCTATTGATTGCCCATTTATACCCTCTGACCATTTTTCTACTGGATTGTTTTTAAGAATCTATATATTTCAGATTTTGAACTCTATTGGTTATATTTTTGTGAATATATTCTTCCTGTTTGAATCTCGTCTTTTTTTTTTTTTTTTAATTTTTGAAGGTAACAGTCATGGCTGTACTGTAGTTAGTAGATGTAAGCTCTTTGAAAGTAAGAGATAGATGTTTTGACTTTCTCATTTCCTGGGAATCACCTTTATGTTTTACTACTTATAAAATGTTAATGTTGGTAAGAAGTGAAACTATATATATATATATATTTTTTAATTAAAATATACATATGTAGGTAAGAAGTAAGCCAAGAGAATAAAAACTGACAAAGCAGTATTTAGTAAATTGATATGCCTAATGCAAAGACAAATCACAAAGAAAACGCATGTTAGAGTTTAATATACTTACATTGCTCTCAGTAGTGTTCAGTCCATGAGTTGATAAGAAATCGGGTGGGAATTTGTTGAAGCAGCCTCAGGAATTCCTTTTCATTTTCCCGGGCTATATCAGAAGAAACTAAATCACTTCTGTAGCATTTAAATCCTCACCAAATTTATACCCCACGGAATCTGAGTTTATGGAGTCCAAAAGGCCAGGCCAAGCTTGGGAATCCTTTTTTTTTTTTTGACAAGGGGGAACCTAAAGCTTACACATGACTGAGTTTAAGCCAATGGGAGATGCCTATGCCAAGTGTGGTTAATACTGAAATCAGGGAGAGAACTAAAGGCTTACAGGTGCCTTAATTTTCTTCAAACAATACTATAAGAAGTTACAGGTGTACTCTCCTCAGTTCCACCCACAGTCACTGCTTTTAAAGAGTTAAGAAGGTATGAAATTGTAGCTCCAGTTTCAGGAGGATGGTGGTGGTAAACTTCCTTTCTCTGGTACTCTTCCGCATGCCCTGCGTGTTGTTGTGTGGATTTCTCTCTATATATTTTCAAGTTATTCCAGCTTCACCATTTAAGAGGTAAATTTGGGTAACTTGCTTAAAGTTTCTGTGCCTCAATCTTCCCATCCCTAATGATATTAATTCTGTTTACCTCACAGGGTTGCTGTGACAACTGAAAAAGCATACAGAGTACTTAGAACAATGCTCAGCATGTAATAAGCACTCTTTACATGCTCTTGTTGCAGAATAGGGATGTTCTAATGAGTTAATTAACACAAAGGATGTCCAAGGAAAAGCTCATCTTCCCCTCTGCGGCTACCCCCTTGCCATCTGTTACTTGCCTAAGAAAACTGTTAACGGTGTCAGGTGATCATGCCACATCTTTTTCTCTTCAGAGCAATAGACTGCAATCTACCTACAAATATGGAGTTTCTTTTTTATAAAAGTAGATTCACATTCACATTATAAAGATTTTTTTAAAATGTGGACCATTTTTTAAAGTCTTTATTGAGTTTGTTAGAATATTACTTGTTTTATGTTTTGGTTTTTTTGCCACAAGGCACATGGGATCTTAGCTCCCCCACCAGAGACTGAATCCACACTCCCTGAATTGGAAGGAGGTCTTAACCACTGGACTGCCAGGGAAGTCCCCATTTTATCATTTAATGATATATCCCGGATATCTTTCAGGGTGACAGTATATCAATACATGCAGCAAACTCATTCTTGTTAACAGCATAATATTCTATTCAGTTCAGTCGCTCAGTCGTGTCTGCCTCTTTGCGACCCCATGGACTGCAGCACGCCAGGCTTCCCTGTCCATCACCAGTTCCCGGAGCTTACTCAAACTCATGTCCATTGAGTCGGTGATGCCATCCAACCATCTTATCCTCTGTCGTCCTCTTTTCCTCCTGCCTTCAATCTTTCCCAGCATCAGGGTCTTTTCAAATGAGTCAGTTTTCAACATCAGGTGACCAAAGTATTGGAGCTTCAGATCAGTCCTTCCAACGAATATTCAGGACTGTTTTCCTTTAGGATGGACTGGTTGAATCTCCTTGCAGTCCAAGGGACTCTCAAGAGTCTTCTCCAACACCACAGTTCAAAAGCATCAATTCTTCGGCACTCAGCTTTCTTTATAGTCCAACTCTCATATCCATACATGACTACTGGAAAAACCAAAGCTTTTTTCTTTTTCTCCATTTATTTTTATAGTTGGAGGCTAATTATTTTACAATATTGTAGTGGTTTTTGCCATACATTGACATGAATCAGCCATGGATTTACATGTATTCCCCATCCCGATCCCCTCTCCCACCTCCCAAAACCAAAGCTTTGACTAGACAGACCTTTGTTGACAAAGTAATGTCTCTGTTTTTTAATATGCTGTCTAGGTTGGTCATAACTTTTCTTCCAAAGAGCAAGTGTCTTTTAATTTCATGGCTGCAGTCACCATCTGCAGTGATTTGGAGCCCCCCAAAATAAAGTCTTTCACTGTTTCCATTGTTTCCCCATCTATTTGCCATAAAGTGACAGGACCAGATGCCATGATATTAGTTTTCTGAATGTTGAGTTTTAAGCCGACTTTTTCACTCTCCTCTTTCATCAAGAGGCTCCTTAGTTCTTCTTTGCTTTCTGCCATAAGTGTGATGTCATCTGCATATCTGAGGTTATTGATATTTCTCCCAGCAATCTTGATTCCAGCTTGTGCTTCCTCCAGCCCAGCGTTTCTCATGATGTACTATGCATTATAAGTTAAATAAGCAAGGTGACAATATACAGCCTTGACGTACTCCTTTTCCTATTTGGAACCAGTACTGTTGTTCCATGTCCAGTTCTAACTGTTGCTTCTTGACCTGCATACAGATTTCTCAGGAGGCAGGAGGCATGGTCTGGTATTTCCATCTCTTTCAGAATTTTCCACACAGTTTGTGGAAAATTTGTCGTGATCCACACAGTCAAAGGCTTTGGCATAGTCAATAAAGCAGAAGTAGATGTTTTTCTGGAACTCTCTAGCTTTTTCAATGATCCAGTGGATGCTGGCAATTTGATATCTGGTTCCTCTGCCTTTTCTAAATCCAGCTTGAACATCTGGAAATTCACAGTTCACATACTGTTGAGGCCTTGCTTGTTGAATTTTGAGCATTACTTTGCTCGCGTGTGAGATGAGTGCAATCATGCGATAGTTTGAGCATTCTTTGGCATTGCCTTTCTCTGGGACTGGAATGAAAACTGACCTTTTCCAGTCCTGTGGTCACTGCTGAGTTTTCCAAATTTGCTAGTATATTGAGTGCAGCACTTTAACAGTATCATCTTTTAGGATTTGAAATAGCTCAACTGGAATTCCATCACCTCCACTAGCTTTGTTCATAGTGATGTTTCTTAAGGCCCACTTGACTTCTCATTCCAGTAGAATATATCATAAAATTTATTCAAATATGCTCCATAAACAGGCAATTGAGGCTATGTTTAATTTTTGCTAATGACTACAAGGGTCCAAGGGTTCAGTACATATCCTTGCTCATCTGTCCTGATGCTTACAGTCTGTAGGACAGATTCCCCAAAGTTGGACAACTAGATCAAAGATTTATGTGTCTTTAAAATGTCTAAAGATTCAGCTTGATTACTCTCACCAAAGGCTGAGGCAATGCATATTCCCACTGGCAATGTGCCAGTTTTCCTGCACTCTTAATAGCCCTTGATGTAATTTGTCTTAAGTTGTTTTGCCAATCGATCAGTAAATAATGATGTCTCATTTTAATCTGTTCTTCCTCACAGGCCTGCCAGGGCACCTTCTCATTTGTTTATTGTTTTTGCAATTTCCTTCTCTGAATCGTATCCTTATTGCATTGTCTTTTTCTAATTATCTGTAGGCATTTTGGGGGGATTTTAACTCTTTTTGGTAAGAAGAGTTTTGTGAACATCTCCTGGTTGTCCGAGTACCTGTCTGGTACTCTGTTTACGGAACCTTTCATTAAACACAATTTTTAATGTTTCTGGGGTTTTATATGTCAAGCTTTTCCTTCATGGTTTCTGAAGCTGTACTTTTTTTTTTTGTCACTCAGTCGTGTCTGACTGTTTGTGACCCCATGGACTGTAGCCTACCAGGCTCCTCCATTCATGGGATTTTCCAGGCAAGAATACTGGGGTGGGTTGCCATTTCTTTCTCCAGGCTGTAGTCTTTCTTAAAAAGTAGCCTCTGTCCAGAGGTTATACAACTTCTCCCTTTCGTCCCATGCTTTTTAAGGTTTTAAAAATAACATTTCTTAAAAGTTAACATGTGCATAATAGGAAACCAAAAAACACAAGAAGCAAAAAAAGAAAAAGTTATCCATAATCAGTTTACCTTTTGATGTGTCCTTTCTAGGTCCTATTTGCATATTTAAACAATTAAGCATCCTTTTTTTATAATTAAGATCATACAGTTATGTGTCATGGTTTTTTCACAAATTGTGAATATTTACCATTTCAAAGTCCCAAAGCTATAAGTATTTTGATAACCAATGATACACTACACCAACTCAATCTGGAAGAGAAAAATTAATCCTGCCTTTCTTGGCAACAAAAATTTCATAAAAGACAAAAGTGACAACAAGCATCTAGATAAAGGTATTGGCAGAGTTTATAATTTAAATACTGTAGTCCCTTGATGTTCAATTAAAAATGAGACATAAAGCAACACAGTATATAGAGCATCCCATACTAGTCTGTTTCAGTTTTTAAAATTTAGATCTTTAATCTGCCAGTAAGTTGTTGCTGTATGTGATGTTAGTGGGAAACTTGTATTGAATATAATAGACACACTGGAAAGTGTACAAGTTCTAAGTGAATTTTCACGAACTGAACACATGCTTGTATAATCTGCATCCATTTCAAGAAATAGAACAGGGGACTTCCCTGGTGGTCCAGTGGCTAAGACTCTGTGCTCCCAATGAATGGGGTCTGGGTTCGATACCTGGTCAGGGAACTAGATCCCACAGGCCCCAACAATCCTCCAAGCGGTAATGAAGACCATAGATTCCCAAGTGCTGCAATTAAGACCCAGCGAAGCCATATAAATATTAAAAAAAAAACAGAACACAGACAGCACCCCAGGTGCTTTGTCTCCTTCCAGTCATTATTCCCTGATGGAGGATAACCACTGTACTGACCTCTAACACCTTAGATTTCTAAGGGGATAATTTTATTTTTATGCAGATGGTTGATTAAGTATGCCAACACCATTTATTAGATTAGCTACTGTTTTCCCAGTGAGTTAAAAATCGCTCCTTTGATCGATGTTACTTATAAGGAGAAAATATATTTCTGGATTCAGTGGATGGGTTGCATAACCCAGTGTCTAACGAAATCAAGTCTTCCATTATGGAGCCCAGCTGGGCTCCCCTGCAGCCTGAGCTTTGCTGGGTGGTGACTGATTTTCTCCATGTGCCTTGTGTGTGTCTAAATAGTCAGAAAAGCACTGATCGTACTGGCCCACTCAGAGAGGACATCCTTCAACTATGCCATGAAGGAGGCCGCCATAGAGGCTTTGAAGAGGAAAGGATGGGAGGTCACTGTGTCGGACCTGTATGCCATGAACTTCAATCCAGTCATCTCCAGAAAGGACATCACAGGTGGGAGCGGCTCTCCCCTTTAATTAGGTCTTTGTGGAACTTCTCCCTTGTGGGCTTTCTGGCCCCGCCTTGGCCCTCTGGCGTCAGCTTCTCTTTTCCTCTCTGCAGGTAAACTGAAGGACCCCGGGAACTTTCAGTATCCTGCCGAGACTGTTTTAGCTTATAAAGAAGGCCGTCTGAGCCCAGATATTGTGGCCGAACAAAAGAAGCTGGAAGCTGCAGACCTTGTGATTTTTCAGGTGTGGTAAGACATCAGAAGGGGTGTTGAGACACTTGCGTTTTTTTGTCCCAGACCTGACACCTAATTAGCTATGTGCTCTTAGGAAAGTCACAGCCCCTTGACCATACTCTCCTTAAAGAAGGATAATTACTTCAAAGGTGCAGTATTACACAGATTTATAGATGTTATGAAGCTGGCTGTATATTCTTTGAAAGTATGACTGTGACTGCAGAGATGACGTGAACCTTGAACTCTTTTTCCGAGAGTGTTTAGTCTTTTCTTCAATTAGTAATTTCTCATGGAATCACTCAAGTTTGCAGTTCTCACCCCATCTCCGTAAGCATCCTGAAGACAGTTGTAGAGCGAGGCACGAGAGCTTGACTTCTCTGCGATGGGAGCTCCCAGTGCAGTGTGCACTGCCCTGCTCAGTGTGTTCTAGCAGCAAAACCATGGCCTTTCTCCTCCTGGAAGCTACCTCACCATTTAGCAGTCAGTACTGAAACTGGGTATGCTTCTTGTAAGTCACCTTTCCTGACAACGCTGGACTGTACTCAGTGACTTTGCTGCTACCAATCCCAACCAGCTTTTTGGTATTAAACATGGAATGTATGCATCACTGGAAACTTCATAAGAAGTTTGATACTGGCTGTGATTTTTGCAGTTATGCAATCAGCTGCAAAGACTCTAACCTTTGAAGTCCCTTATTCTACGTGTTGCTGTGAATCAAAGCCACGTAACATTAGCCAGTGCCCCAAAGGATCCCTTTTTGGTCTACATTTTCTACTCTCTCTTATTGCAGTACAGCCAAGGCAGTGAGCAGTAGCAACTGTCAGTTCTGCTTCTAAGAATCACTATATTTTAGAATTGGAAAGGACAGCCTTTCAATTCAGCTTCTATCCAATGCATACATTTTCTTTACTACCAGTACAACTGTATAGGTTGCACACTGCAAAATAGCAACACAATGAAGGGCAATGTAAACTCCACAGATTTGCATATTTATTATATCAGTTTTGCAACAGATGACAGGAAGCGTCTTATTCCAGCAAAAGCAGTATGCTAGAAATGATAGTCTGGCAACATTAAAATAAATGTCCTGAGGAAGGATTGCCTTCATTCCTACCAACGTGCCACATGGGCTAGGCCCTGCTCAGTTGTCTCACTTCTCCAAAAGGAACTTGAGAGAGTAAACTTTTAATATCAAGCAAGCCAATCAATTTCTATTTTCAGCCCTCACTGTAGAGCATTCACAGGGGACCAAATCTACTTGCTTGAGTAACCTACACATCCTAAAAGCGGCAGATATGGCCCGTCACAACTGGAGCATCTTAAATGTGAGAATATGAGAAGCTCCTAGAGACCCCTCAAGCCCCTCTTTTTACAGATGAGAAAGGGGCTTGTGTGGCAGAGGTCATGCCTCACATTATTGGCAGATTCAGGGTAAGAATGCAGGTCTCATTCTCAATCATGTCCAAAACTTTACTTCCTTACTCTCTTTCCTATAGGTCTACCACTCTTCAAAGAGAGAACTACCAAGTCCTACAAATTTCTTCTCTGTCCTAGCTTTTTCTTTTAACCTCTGGGCATGTTCCTGTCATCATAGCCTTTAAGTGAGTCAAGAAGAAATACTGGTATGGCCTTGCTCGACTTTTACCAGGACAAGAGCCCCAGTAGGTCTTTCTTGTGAGAATTCCCTGACAAACCTTGGTTACGCTGATCATTTGGTAGCATTTGTGAGTGGTTCTGTTTATTCTAAATGATAGGATTTTACATCCGTGAGCACAAGGTACAGGTTTCATATTTGTGATACCACACCCACTGAAGCAAGTTCTTAAGAAAATATTGATTTAGGTGTCACACACTGAGGCCAACTTTGCCTGCAATACTTGCTGTTTAGACTTTGCTGCCAAACGAGATTTCACAGAAACAAGTCTTTATTTCACGTGGCTCTCTTCACACCCACCCGGTATTTGTTATTTGTGCATAGGAACAGGAGTGTCTAGTTGACTGACTAAGGACAAGGATTTTCTTTAAAATTTTCTTTTCTTGAATGTTCTACCTTCTCCAAGAGGAATGACAGGGCCTGAAGAAAGTTTGCCCCTCGGTGATGTCATGGACAGCAGCTAAGCACTGAATCTTCTGTGCTGGGGGTGTTCCCGACCTAACCTCTCTGCCCTCTGTCCTCAGTTCCCCCTGCAGTGGTTTGGAGTCCCTGCCATCCTGAAAGGCTGGTTTGAGCGGGTGCTCATAGGGGAGTTTGCTTACACGTATGCTGCCATGTATGATAAGGGGCCTTTCCGGGTAGGTGGATAAATGTTTTTTTTTTTTTTTTCTAATGCCTGGATTTTAGGAAGATTCTGTCTTGAGACAGAGTTTTGAGTGCAGTTAGATACTACAATCAGGCTCCAGGTACCTTTGGGAGAGATGTATGGAGATTAGATAAGCCTAGAATGGCAAAATACTGAGAGTTAAAGTAGGATGGTGGATATATCATTATACTATTTTCTCTTTATGTACTGATATGTTTTAACTTGTCCATTAAAAAAAGGAGTCTGTCTTCATTTTCTAGACACCCAAAACTATACAAGAAGCATTTTTGAGACCTAGATCACAAGCATGATCAATACACATTGATCACAAGCTTGATCAATACACTAGATCAGTACATGCCTAGTACTGTGAGGAGACAGATTTAAAACACTCCACCTAGGCACCAGCAGTCAGCACTGATTTTGCATTACCGTGACAGCCTTCACCTGACTTGCCACATGCAAGAGTGTGGAATCCTGGGCCTGCCCCTCTGCGTACCACTTTCCAGGCTGGTACTTTTGCAGAGTCATACTGCACGGCTCAGAAGAGCCAATGTATGAAGTAATACAAGGAGCCGATCTGGGGGGGGTGGGGGGTGGTACTTTTATATTCTTTTCCCTGGGGCTGTTTCATTAACTTCCTGCCATCAAAGAGATGTGGATGCCAATGCCTTTTCTTTTACAGAATAAGAAGGCAGTGCTTTCCATCACCACCGGTGGCAGCGGCTCCATGTACTCCCTGCAGGGTATCCATGGGGACATGAACATCATTCTCTGGCCAATTCAGGTATCTAGTTTTCAGTGACCCTTCGGGGGATTAATTGAATTTTCTATTGGGTCCAGATCCTCCAGATAGCATTTCGAAACAGACCTGAGGTATGAAGATGAAAGAACTATAGAAGGGCTTCCTCTTAGGACTGACCTGTCTTCCCAGGACCCCAGGCTTATAGAATAACTCAGGTGTGTACACAAATAGCACTCTCTCCTCCTAGCCAGAGGATAGCGTGGATGACTCCCCCAGGTTTGCACAGCCACGTGACTGGCATCTCTCACCAATCTCCCTGTCCTCCTCCAAGTTGCTGCTACAGTCTCACAGACTATCAGAGCCCAAGAAAAGTTAAGAAATTATTTAGTTCAGCTGATAAAACTGAAGTCTGAAGCAGGTTTTTCGGTGGTCACTGGACCCTCAGGATAATCTCCTAAGGCTGGCAAGAAGAGCACGTGAGGTGGCCATCTACAGGATGAGGGAATCAATATTAGTAATAACATTGGAGAACAAATGGCAAGAACAGTTTATGAAGACTCGTCTGGTAATGTGGAAAGGCAGAGAAACGCACCTCTGCAGGTCTTGGCAACAGTCAGCTGCTGAGAAGCTGAAACCCTCCCTGAGGTAACCGAACTTTCGGTGCTTTTGGCAGATAGTGCCAGGTTGGCACAGTTTCAGAGGCTTTATTCATTAAGAGAAGAGTACAGCTGAATAGGCTAAAATAGGCAACAGCTAGGTACAGAGAGCACAAGGTGAGAGGAGGGAGCTATGAACTAACTCTCAAGGCCTTCACATCAGGGTGTCCTACTGGGAAGCCCAGATTAACTTTCGCTGTCTGTGGTACAAGGCGTGTGGCGTTTGACCTGTGACTCACCTCTGTGCTCTGTGTATCCCCAGAGTGGCACTCTGCACTTCTGTGGCTTCCAAGTCTTGGAACCTCAACTGACATACAGCATTGGGTACACTCCCGAGGATGCCCGAGTTCAGATCCTAGAAGGATGGAAGAAACGCCTGGAGAATATTTGGGATGAGATGCCGCTGTATTTTGCTCCAAGTAGCTTCTTTGACCTAAACTTCCAGGCAGGATTCTTAATGAAAAAGGAGGTGCAGGATGAGCAGAAAAGTAAGAAATCTGGCCTTTCTGTGGGCCATCACTTGGGCAAATCCATCCCAATGGACAACCAGATCAAAGCCATAAAATAAGATTCACAAGACTGGACTTCCTTCTAAAAATGTAACCAAATCTTGGTTTCTATTTTGAGCTTCCTTTATTTGCTTTAGTTTTTAAGATCTGTTTTTCTTTTTCCACGAGGAATGGATAGTAGAGAACAGACTAAACTCATATGTTTTTGCATAGCTTTATTAAATAATGTAACCAATTCTTATGATTGCTATCATGGCAAAATCTGATTAGGCTCAAAAGGGCTCTTAGGATGTAAAGCCAGACAGAAAGTTAGCAAGATGCCAGACGGTATTCTTTAAGGTCCTCTACACAATTTAATTCCTCTCTCTTTAGGGATGTATTTTTAGGAATAAATCTGGCTAGAGGGCATCCACACTCCTCAATGGCCTATTTTTCTTTAATTACCTCCCTGTGGTTTATGGCAGAAGGGAACTGCTCAGAGGAGGAAAGGACAGAATCAGTCTGACCTAAGGGACTTACTAATTGCTGCTCTCTGCTTGTTTGTGATGTATATTAGCTTTATTACCACACAATGACTACCATGCCTATATGAATGTCCTTCTTCCTTCAACTTTGTTGTTAGTTAATACAGATACCTTGAAATGAAAAGCTAATAAAAATCTTTTTCACTTCAATCTTCTGATTTAGTATCTGCAAATAAACCAATACATCTATAATCACATCTGCTATAGTGAATGAATTCACCAAAGGAAATAGTACTCCTAATACCTAAAAACAGTCTCCCACAAATAGTACTTAATTTTTTGATCCATATAACTAACCTGGAATTTTCCCCGTATCATTTATAAACTGATGACTTTCCTTTCAAGGATGTGTTTTGGTTCCATGAATCTGGGGGCAAAATTGTAAGCCTAGAGTTTCACTAACTTTGGTAAACGATTTTGGCATTCATAGTCTAACTTCCTGTTTAAATGACTGAGGTGCATCTCTACTAAGTGTTGGTATAATCCAAGTTGAAAATGATGAAAGAATGCCCTCTTGTGGTCCAGAGAAAGAAAACACGAGAAACGATGCAAAGCAAGGTTGCCTCTTACCTGCCAAGGAAATGATGGCATCAGGCAGGAGAACCTCATGTGCCAGATGCCAGCAAGCACTGGGTATTCTTTCCATAATATCCACAATGGCAGATGGCTGGGTGCTTCAGTTTGAAAACATATGAAAATGTTTCCTGTTGCCTTTATCCTCACTGCAGTTTTATGTAAATTTCTAAAAGTTCCAAATGAAATAAAATCCATTTCTATAAAACAAACTCAAATTCACTGGTTTCAGGCAAAAGTGGAATCTACCAGGGAAGGGATCAGAGGATTCAGTGATAAACTGTGGCCAGAAGCCTAAACGGTCACCTGGCTTAAGAGCATGCCCAATAGGGCTGCTTCATTCTAAATGGTAATGGAACCAATTAAGATTCTCTCAGGGGATTTAAAGGACATTTAAGATCGAGGAAGTAGTGCTTAGTTGCTAAGTCATGTCTGACTCTTTGCAACCCCGTGGAATGTAGCTGGCCAGGCTCCTCCGTCAATGGGATTTCCCAGGGAAGAATACTGGAGTGGGTTACTATTTCCTTCTCTAGGAGTCTTCCCAACCCAGGGATCAGGAGAGTGGTATAGAAATCAAGAAAAACACAGAATGTAATAAATAAATGCCAAGGGGCAATATTTATTGTGACTTGCCTGAATTATCTTGATTAATCAATGGGGCAGGCATTCTTCTAGGCACTGGGAATACAGCAGACAAAATACCTATCCTCATAGAGGATTGCATTCCATGATAGAAGAACAAATGTCAGTCAGGTGATAAATGTTAGAAAGGAAGAGCAGGTGAGAAGGTTAGAGATGGGATCCGAGTTTTATACAGGGTGATCAAGAAAGATCTAATAAGGTTATATTTGAGCAAAGACTTTATAATGTTAAGAGACTGAGACATGTGGATCCCTGAAGGAAAGGCATACCGGGAGTGATATAAGTACAAACCCATGACGTAGCAGCATGATCAGTCTGTTTTAGGGAGGGAAAGGAACTTAGTGTGATCAAAGCAGAGAAAGCAAGAGATGGATGGGTCAGACACACAGCCAGGACAGACCACAAAGGGCCTTACAAGCATTGTGAAATGTAGAAATAGGAAGTCAGTCACTGGATGGTTTTGAGCAAAGGTGTAACATGGGGCTTATGTTTAAATCTGGCTGGTGTGTGAAGACTCAAGTATGAGGAGCAATGAGAGAAGTAGAGAGAATTGTTGGGAAACTGTTATGACAATCAAGGCAACAAATGCTTTGGTTCAAAGTGACAGCAATCGCTGTATTGAGAAGTGGCTGGATTCTGGATATATTTCAAAGGTCAGAGTAACATGACCTGATGACAGATTGTTGTCAAGGTCAAAAAACACAAACCCTCAGAGGTATTTTAGCTTAAATAAGTGGAAGAATGGAGATTTCACTTTGCTTAGATGAGGAAGAATCTGGAAAGAGAACTGGGGGCAGAAGATGGGAATGGGAAGTGGAGAATCAAAATTTGACTTCAGACATGTTATGTCTGAGATACCTGTTGTGACTGTCAAGTAGACAGTTGGGTAATAGGAACTTGGAATAAAGTCAACATGTAGAAGTATATAAAGCAGTATGACTGGATGGGATCAACTGGAAATTGGGTTACGATAGAGAAGAGATATAATGATTGACTTCTAGAGGTCTCCAACATTAGGTCAAGAAGATGAGAAGAGAAAAGGCCAATGAAGCAAGAGAGATGTGCATGGTGTCCTGACAGCCGAGGGAAGAAAGTGTTTCAAAGACTGTCAAATACTGCTGATAAGTTGAGTGAGTGAAACAGGCATGGGAATTGACTTTTGAGAGGCCACTGGTGGTGCTGACAAGAGCTATTTCTGGAGAGCAGGGTGATAAACCCTGATTGGAATGGGTTTAAGAGGGAATGGAAGGAGAGGAAGTGGAAATAGTGTATATGTGGGATGTGTGGTCAAAGAAAATTGTTTTTTAAGAGATGAGGAACATTACAGAAAATTCATATTCTAGTGGGTATGAGAAAAGGTTTTGATGCTGGAGAAAGAGGGTAATTATATCTATAAAACTGAATCCCTTTGCTGTTTACCTGAAACTAACCCAACACTGTAAGTCAATTACAACAGAAAATAAAAATCAAAAATAAGAATTAAATTAAAATTTAAAATTAAATTACAAATAAAAAAAGAAAGAGGATAATTAGAGGACCATGTATTTGAAAAAGCAAAAGGATATGGATCCAATTAACCAGAGGCAGAAGAACAAAGCAGTATCAGGACTAGTATGACTAATACAGGGTTAACACGAGGCACTTGGCCCCTGTGTGCCAGGAACTAAGTAGTTTTATGCTGATTAACTTACGTAATTTTTATAACAACCCTTAGGGGATCATTCTAGTTTTCTTTCCACTTTATAAAGAAACTGAGGAATGGAGAAGTTAAACATTTGGTATAGGAGCCAGAACTTCACCCAGGAAGCAAACTCAAGAGCCTATGCTTTTAAATGCTCCTGTGCCTCAGCACAGGCAGGGGCAACGACACCACGAAACAGAGCGTAGAGCGGTCATCAGCTGTCTTCCTGAAAGACCGTAAGTGCTGCTCCTGAGAAACTACAGCTATTTTTTAATTGGAAGACAATTGTTTTACAATGTTGTGGTGGCTTCTGCCGTATGACATGAGTCAGCCATAAGAGAGTGTGTGTGTATGTGTGTGTGTCCCCTCTCTCTTGAGCCACCCTCTCCCTGTCCCCATGCCACCTCTCCAAGTTGTCACAGAGCACCAGGCCAGGCTCCTTGTGTTATATACAGCAGCTTCCCACTAGCCATCTAATTTACACATGGTAGTACATATTTGTCAGTAGCTGCTTTTACACTTCTAAAGTCCCCCTGTGTCCCTAAGCAGGGATAAATGATGTTCAGTTCTCTGACAGGCCTAATTATATGGCTGCTGAGAACTGTTTGCTCCTTATGAGATGACAAAGCAGGACTCTTATCAGCTTGAAGTAGAGCAGGAAAATTGTCTCCCTTGTTCCGGACACTGTAACTTAGACTATGTAACCCAGGACCACATCAGCCTTTCTGGCAGCCATCTTCAGATTAAAAATACCCAAATATTTTTGATATTTATACTTACTAATTGCATTTGGTTATTACTCCTTTCCAATGCTGCTGAAGTCCATAAATGCTAAGAGACAACTTTTAAACATATTTAGAACAATGGCAGCAGTGCTATTACTTTAGACCCCTAAAGTGAAAACTCATTTAGACGGATTATATACATTTGGATGTTAAAAAAATTCAGTCACTTTCACAGAATCAACAGATACCATCTATATGTGATAAGAAAGTATAAGAATATTGTTTAAAGCAGCACTACTGAAGCTTCAGTTATTTATACATCACATATACAATATTCATGTATCACCTGTATTAGTCTTTATTTAGAATTTTGGCTTTGACTCACATTTCCCCATAGTCTAGTAAGTAGACACATTATATATTTTCCTAATGTACATCCAAACACACACACATATATGTTTAAAAATAATGTTTACCCATGTAAATCACCTAAAATCATTCTGAATGATTAACTTATAAAAAGAGACTGCCTCTGGATGTGGGACTGAGGGCTGGGGAGACTTTTTTTTCATCAAAAGCACCTCCATAATTCATAACTTGTCACCACATGTATGTATTATTTTACTAAACATGAAACACTTTAAGTAAAACAAATAAAAATTCTATCACACTAAGTCACTTTTGTACACTACCTGGTAAAACAGTAGGTACAATGTCACTATTAAAAATATTTCTGTATTTCATACCTTTTCCTAATGACTTTTTTTTAAGTTCAGTCACATACTCATGTTGTTCAAAATTGACATTCTTAGATATGACTTCATTTGCAAAGTCTGAGGAAAAAAGACAGTTAACCACTACAAAATGAAAACTTTCAATGTTTTATTTTTGACTGCAGCTGTTTACAGAAATAT